CTGATAGCCTCCTACATCCTACATCTCTATTCACGCTGGATTGGAGGATTATTGTGTATCGCTCAACACTGCGGGGAAGCCTCGACTTTGTGTGTGTGTCAAGTCTGGTGATAACTCTTTAAAGCAGCGGAGCACAAACAACAGCTCTTTATCAGCCCTCCCTCAGCCATGCCTCCCCTGTCGTTTGAGTGATTTACACCCATAAGCCTTCATCTGTCCTTCTTTCCTTCGTCTCCTTCATCAACCTAATTTCCACTAAAATCCGGATCAAGTTGCTCTTCGGGTCTGATTAGATGAAATCAAACTCATCCCTGTGGAATGATCATAATGAAATCACTGAACTGAGAGGTGATCTCTCAGCCCGTACTTCATTAGTATTTGATATCAAAGACGTATATTTGCCATCTCACATCCTCTCATTAAGTCTCATTTTGACAGGTAATTGTCTACCAAAGCTACGGGGGTACTGTGTAGATTTCATCCAATTTTGTAGCTCAAATTCATTCATTCAGTCATTTTACAATCCAACAATCAGCTAAAGCCATGTCATTACCAGCTTTTTTGCTCCGGTCTCTTCATTAATTAGAAAATTCTTGTGGTAATTTGAGGAAAGATATAGGGAAATAGATCAAATATTAAAAGCAAGACAGAAGCAAGTATGTTGTTGAAGTTATTTCAGATCTTTCAAGTATTTTAATTAAATACAATCTTACCAAACAGCTGCTTGTGTCCCTCTTTTATCTTTTATTTTCATGGGTGCATTGAACACTGTAAACATGCCAAGGGGAAAATTTGCCCTTTTGTGGATCCACATGACCGTGAACGTTCCCCATCTCCCTGTGACTTACCCAGTATGGCCAGCACGGTGTTGTCTTTCAGGACCTCCATGGACCCCGAGCAGACGAAGTAGATGGCCTGCAGGGCGTCTCCCTGCCGGATGAGGAACTCGCCCGGAGCGCAGAAGGAGGTCTTGATGATGAGGGAGAGGGAGCGCAGGCAGCCCCGGCTGGCCGACTCGAACAGGGGCAGCTGGAGCAGCTCCTTGTTCAGGTGCATGGCGATGTCGGCCCTCAGCTCGTCTGGGAAGTCCTTCAGTAGCTGTCAAGCAAGAGGCGGTTCACACTTAACAGACGCTCTGAGACTCTAATGAATTAATTGTTATAAATTATTAGTGCTTATTTTGTCCACACAGAAACTGTAAAGAAACACAAATGCTCTCCAGTACGATAGACTTCAGCCACCAGCAGAGCTACGAGTGCGAGAATAGACAATGAAACCGAGAAAAAGAGTGAGATTGATTAAATTATTGATCCATAATCTAGTAAACTTTGATTTGTAAGTGTTCATTTTAAAGTACAGAGCGAGAGAGCGATGGAGCAAGACCTGAAAACGGTCAGATCTGCAACATTCACAGACTCCTGTAGCTCTGCGTTACATGAGGAGAATGTACGTCTGCTCTCTCCTCACCTCACTGACGTCTATGCCGTTGTTGACCGACCAGGTGGTCTGGAAACACTCCAGCATGCGCTGCTCCAAGGCCTTGGGCAGCCGATGGACCCGGATGAAGTCCTTCAGGTCCTTGGTGCGGGTGTGGTAGAGCGAGCGGCGCGAGTACATCCTCTGGATGATGGCCGTCACGTTACCAAACACCACTGCATGCATCAGCGCTGGAGAAGAGAAAAAGGTTGCGTGTTTTCAGTATGATCAAGATTTAATTACAGACTTGTCTGATTGGCTTTTATCTGGATGGCTCTGGAAAATCCCATAATGCTTCTGCACAGCAGGGAGCTTCATAGGACGTCTTTATAAGCCCCAAGATGTTAAAGAGCACGGGGCTTTAAAGGACTTAGCTGCTCTAACGCCACTGTAGAGCAATGCCACAAGTGGATTACTGCTTTATGAAAAGGAAGTGACACACTACTGAAATTAAAATAATCCCCGTGTTAAATAAATCTTTTATTGCTAGTGAGAAAAACACCATAAAAACAACTAAATTATTATTTTTTAAAAAACAGCTCTAATCCCAGTATGTGAAATGACTCTTGGTTGTTGTATTAATAATTAATAAACAGGTCGACTTTGAATGTAAACACAGCTAACCAGCAGTTATCTTATAACGTACCTTTCGGACTGAACCGCAGAGCAGTTTCTCTCCCTAAATTGAATTCTTGTCCAAGTAGAAAAGCTGCTGAAACAGACCACAGGACACTTACACAGTCCACTGACACCCTGACTAATGACATCATTTTGGGATGGCTGCTCCCGCAGGCAGAGTGACCCAGCTCACATCTAGCAAAACTCTGGAGTTAGGACGTATAAATGTCTTTCAGTTAGAGCTGAGAGGCATACAGAACAGAACAATTGAGCGAGGTTAATGAAGCCGGAGTCTCCTATCTTTACTCTCTCTGTGTGTTTTACTCGCATCTCTGTGGATGCAAGGTTATTAAAAATCAATGCAACACAAAAAACACCCACTCCAAAAAACCCAAATTGAATTAAAGGATGTGGATAGCTTTTCTTACCGTCTACGGATCCCATAAAACGACCAAACCAACAACCAAGCTCATCTTTTCTCTCTGAAGATGTGTCTTCACTTTTTGTTGACTGCACTTGTTATTTTTTGGGGTTTTAGGGTTTTGTAAAAAAAAAAAAAAAAAAAATGCTAAGAAAAGGTGCTTTGATGTTTGGACCATCCTTTACAAAAGGAGAAAGGAGGCAATGCCGCCCCACAATCCCTTGCGGCAGCAACATTTAAAGCGACGCACCTTTCAGCCGTCAATAACAGAACTGTTTAATTGGTCACTCTATTAATTGAAAACATGTTTCTTAGGAGGCGAGATTGTGTTTTGGACAGGAACATTTACTTGATTTGTACAGCACTGAGTTTGTAACTGTACGCAATTCACGTGTTATAAATAAAGTTGCTAAAAAACAACAAGTGCAGTCGGATTTTAGCACAGCTGTTGTCTTTTCCTAAGTCCTTATGAATTCTCCTTCACATCTCTCCCCCGCCTCATGGCGTTTTCCATCGAGGTAGAGGAAAAGTAGTTAAGAAAAGACATTAAGACGTCATATTTTTGACTATTGCACCACAGCCTTAGGTTTTGTTCTGTAATGTTCAGTTTTGCTTTGTCTGCACGAACTATGAATAAAGATTAATTCAAGTTCCTGTGGCATGCAGTCTCCTGCATTTGGGTCCACCTGCTATCCTCTTCATGAAAGAAAAATGGTTTAAAATACACAGTTTCATTTAAAAAAACTAATTTCCAAACACAGCCAAGTACTGCAGCTTTTAGCAAATGTAACAAGCAGGAAATAGCACATTTGTTGGAAACCATGGATGAATACATATCTGATGCTCTACCAAGACAGCGTACGCAAAGCTGAATCAAATCAGCTGGGATTCAAAAAAGAATATTATAAATTCCAGCACAGTATTAGCCTTGTAACACTAACATTTAATAGGGTTTTAATTAGCACCTTTCAAAAGGAAAATAGCAGATTTTATCATTCTATCAACCAGGAAATGCCGAGCACGGACAGAAGTCATTGTGATTTGTTACCCAAACCTGGACATTTACAGCCCACCCAAAGTGCACTGGGGCCTGAGACATCCTCACACATCAGTGTGTCCTCTGACTATAAATCTTGGCATTTCTCTCACCAAGCAACCTCAATTCTTCTTTTATTGCTTTGTTCCAGAACATTCAGCTCTCGTCATTATGGATCGGCTCATTAAAAATAAGGCACAAGTTTTAAAACTCCGTCCACAAACATGTTGAACCGGAGCATTTTCAGGACAGTTAAGAGGATCGGTAAATACACTGTGCTGAAGTATTTAAGGAACTACTTTTCGGTGATTAGAGACACTCGTTGACATTTCACAAGGCATCGCTCAAATGGCTCAGCTAAAAAAATAACACGTTATTTAGTTTGTACTTTATTCAGCAGCACTGTGGAAAAGTTCAGTGTAGTCTCGTTAATCACATGGGAGAGCAAACTCAAAGGAGAGATGGTGTACGAGTCATAAAAGTTTGGAACATGTGTTTGTCATGTTACTGTTGGTGATATTTGAGTGTTTTTATAATGAATAGTCTGTCAGGTCTGCAGCTTTAAATGTAGTAAGTATGTAGTTAAATGCCATTTTCCAATTTTTTCCAATGAATCTTGTGATCTTCACTGGACGAACAGAAGTTCTGTGACAAAATTCAAGTATTTGATTCCTTTTCAAGATTTAGAGTCTGTGCGTCTGAAGGTGTTGATGTTCATGTTTATTGGTTCTGTCCCTTCTAGATGTTATCAAGACAAAACTGTATTAGCTGATTTTCAAAGCTGCATAATGCTCTAGGTCCGTTTTGTTAATGGCAAACAGCATTAGCTATTTACTATTAACTAATAGTGACGGACAATCAATCTGTAGCAAATTGATTTTGATACATCCTGGTCACAAATAAACAAGCACACAGCCGAACATGTAATGAAACCCCTCAATCAAGAAACGAGGGACTAATGAGACACTGAATGGATGGTTTTGCATACAAGAGTGTGTGTCGGTACATCTATTGTACAAATTGTGCTCGGCTGCGTGTCGATGTCTCACTGGTTCCAGACAATGAGCTGAGTGAGTACTTAAGAGGAAGAGAAGAAGAAGCGCTTCACGAGAGGAAACACTGACATGAACACAAAGTAGGGACGCACCGATATCGGGCCGGTACTCACTATCGCTGACAATGGGGCCGATCGATTCAATTCAATGTTCTTGTTGACTTTACAGAGGAGCATCCTGACTGAAAGCACGACAAACTGGCATGGGATGTGCACGGCTCAGGACAGGAGTGCTCTGCAGTGGATAGTTAAAACCACCCAGACATGATTGGTACCCATCTACCGAGCATCGTGGATATTGATGACGAGAGGTGCCTGCGAAGAGCCCAAAGGATATTAGAAGACAAAACCCACCCAGAGACCGCCTGTTCACCCTGCTCATACCCAAAGCCCTGGTATCGGTATTGGGACTGAAAAAGTCGGATGTGTGCATCCCTAAAAAGTGGAACTAAAACACAGGTTTCTCACCTCCTATGAGCATGGTGCAGATGGAGAAGATCTTCTCTGAGTCCGTGTTGGCTGACACATTTCCAAATCCCACACTGGTGAGACTGCTCAGAGCAAAGTAGAGTGATGTCACATAGCTGCTACGCATCGAGGGGCCGCCGCCCAGCACCCCAAAACTCCCGCCACCGGCGCCCGTCCCCGCCACGGCCTCGCCTCCGGACATGTTTCCATAATGTTGGCTGGAGTTCCAGGAGCCCTGCCCTCCGACCTCTGACCCCGACACGTTCCACTGGCTGCTGTTGGCCGGGAAGCTGCTGACTGTGACGGGGACAGACGTTGTCAGGGCGGGCAGGAAGTAGGGGGTCCCCAGACGCTTGGCCAGCTCATGGAGCCAACCTATGAGAGAGAAATGAAAAAAAAACAACTTTATTTTACTACAAATAGGTCCAAGAATTCAGCACTGACAGTTACCTGAGATAAATGAAATCGTTTTATACTATAACAAACACAAGACTAGACCTTCTTCATCTTCAACGGTACACAAAATTCCTGCTAAAACTCCATTAGAGCTGGATATTTCCTGAACTGTCCACCTCTCAGTGATATGCATCCATTGGTGAAGAGCAACGGAGTACATTAACTCAAGTACGGTTCTTAAGGACCATTTAGAAGCACTTTTTAATGGGACTTTATTCTGCTACTCTACGACATCTCAGGGGAGAAATATTGTACATTTTACTTCACCTAAAACATTTAACAGGTACTTTTGATTTGACATTTAAAACGTACGATAAACCTATAAGATATGATGCATAATTATAAATTAAAGGTGCTGTATAACCACAAAGGCGTTTTGTGGCTGATCAGAGCTGCTCATGTTGGAGGTAGATAAAGATTTAACAAGAATAATAATGCTGTAATGTGTCACACGAGAGAATAACTTGCGTGCCCATTATATCATCTTGTGCGCACTAGATTTCTCAGAATCTTTTAGGACCTTTGGGGCCATTCTGCATAATTAATACTTCTACCTTTGATAGTTTAGATGCATTTTGCAGGTACTACGTATGTACTTTTACTCAAGTAGAATATTGACTGGCTGACTTTTTATTTGTAACAGTATTTTAATTTTGTTGTATTGCTGTGTTTACTTAATAACATGATCTGAGTGGTTATTCCAGCCTTGTAGGCATCTACAGCTCTGTGGTGAGGGTCTGGTTGTGCTCGTCTGTATTGCCAATTTTGAGAACCCAGACATTAAGTTCCCTGGAACACGTCCATCCAAAGGTCTGTCTAAAGCGTATCTGGCACAAATAATACATGTTTTTTGTTTCATATTGTGAACAAAAGGGATTCAAGTTAACTTTAAAAAAATAAATATCAACATAACAATTCAGCTGCAGAGGAAATAAAGTTAAAAAAGATGGCCAAGGAAGGAATAACAAAGGCAGAAAGTAAGAAGAGAGGAAGGATGAATTATTGAAGAACAGTGTTTGTGAGTGGAGGAGTGGTGAAACCCATCTGAGCCGAGACAGCAGAATCAAAACAGAAAGACAGCAAGGGAGGGAATATGAATAAAACAATATGGATGCACCCATTCGTTGATCTCCGGCATCACACACTTCTACAGACTGGCAACTTTGACCTTGTGTGTGTGTTCTCAGATAGTGAGACCAGCCTGCCAGCATAAATAAGCAGAAGTGACAATCGAGCAGTGAGCAGAGTCCCAGTGAAGCAGCTAAACCAACAACATTAGAGGATTTAACACCTGAGTAGTTTCCTAATTACTATGTCATTAGCACACAACTTAACCTCCACCTTCCTGAGGAAATGTGGACCTGCTAAGCCATTATTTTGCAATCAGGCATGTCCGTGCCTGGAGATCAGAATATATTAAAAAAATAAAACTACAAAGAATTTATTTAATCTTGTACATAAGGGAACATGAAGGGCATTACTGACGTTATAGAAAGGGCAAAACGATAACAGAGTGTGCCGGTCTGGAGACAGACGTTGAATTGGAGGAAAGGTTTTCTCTGATTTGACTTGATGTGAATGAGTAAACTCATCATGCTCAGCCTTCATCTGCTCCCTTTAGTGGCAGTTTATAACAGAGCCATTGTGAATATTTAAATAAACTAACTAATAAAATGGCAAAGTGCAACCGGGAACTTTCTATTTATTTCTTTTTGGTGGAAACTGTTGACAGTGTTTCTCTGCCTCTGTCCGAGGTGCTGACTTCTCGTCTAGAGCTGACTGGACTCACATGAGAGCTGTCTGTGGTCCTGAACTCCTGCCTCCCACTCTATCTAAGGCGGCTGTCACACCACTATTTTCCAGCATGGAGGAAGCTAATGTTATATCATATTAGCTATGATGTACCTTCCAGTTTTATACATAAGAGGCATGGTTTGCAGTGAGACTGAAGTCAATGGGACAAATGCGTCTCTCAACTAAACTTTGCTAACTGTCCGGTTATCCATCTTGCAAATTCCTAGTTAGCTAGTATTATCGACAAACTCGCCGGCCACAATGGCTCACAGTTATACCTGCAAATAGTCACTACATCACCAAGCTTCATCCTTTTTTTCCTGTCCAGCTCAGTAGACTGCGTCTTGTGTGATGTCTTCAGCTCCATGAGGGACTGTGACGGCGGCCATGGCTCCACTGCCCCTCAATTACCGATAGCCCTGCAGACAAAACTGTACCTCTCCCAAGTGCTAGCCAATTGAGCAGTTAAACCAATGTCCATGCCAATATCAGACCTTTATTGTGAATCTCAGTTAGTGTCACAGAAAGGTCACACTGGTCTTTGCTGTCCCCTGGATTCCCCGTCTGTCTGAATAGTAAATCGAGGGAACGCTGACATGCATTGACTGCTGTGTTTCTGTCATTATGTGGTTCGCTGAAAGGATAATGATAGGTGGTTTGGGACAAATCAATGTGAGAGAGAGAGAGAGGGAGGGAGGGAGAGCGGGACAGCGAGGGGAAGTAAACATCTCGTTATATGTCCCTGAGTCGAGTCCATAGCTTAGAAAACACGCTCATTGTGGTTCACTATTTGATTCAACGTCATGTTGATGCTTCGGTAGAATAAAATAAAAGCCTCTTGTTGATCTTCGCCCCCTTAGCTCCCTTGGAAACTGCCCATCTGTTTCTACAGGTTTATCAGATTGTATGCCACGAGTTTCATGTCACCTGCAGGATTTGAGATTATCCACCGAGAGATGATTGGGGAATATCAACAAAGCTGCGTCTTATCAAAAGCATCGGCTGTGTTGAAAATTCAGACTCTTGGGGGTCGTGCTTTTGCATAAGTGCTGCTGCTGCACCTTTGTTGCTGATGCAAAATTACTGACATCACTCTGCCGAGGAGTTTAAGTGTCATCTTAGATCTGTCTGTCAAGCAGAACGAGGCAGTGAATGTGCAAATGCTTTAAGCTAAACTAGACAAGACTTTTTATGTAAGAATCTACACTTCTCATCACACTAAAACCACAGAGAGACGGGCTGCAATAAGATAAGATCTCATTTAATCTGCATTCGGCAACACTAAAACTGTTTTCCTGGGGACATAGTTTACAGTATAATTCAGAAGAGTGATGAGTATCCAATCTTAGATTTGCTCAATTTGCCCAAATGAAATTCTGGTTTCTGGCTCTGGCAGGATCTTTACAGTACAGGCACAGTGACAATTCAAAACTTTAACACTAAAAGCTCTCGACTCAGAGAAAATGGATTTTTCCACTCCCACCCCACAGACACTAAATATAACGCTGAGGAGTGCACAGTTTACTGTAAATACCAAATAGGAACATTTCATTTGTCCTTGACAACATGGCAACAAGTGGACAATATTAAAGTAGCTTCACTCAAATATGTTTAACTACTCTTTATAATGTTGCCGATTTTCTTCATACATGCATCATATTTACTATGAAACCAGCAGTAGGTAAATGTACCTCACAGCCATACTTAAGTGCAGCTCTTGAGTGAATGTACTTCCCTGTGTGTGGGTGAAAATAGTGGGTACTGACCAATATCCCAGGAGCCAGGACTTTCGATCTCCTTGCGACCTATGAAGTACCAGACGCAGGCCATCCAGTGGGCCAGCAGGGCGAACATGGACATCAGCAGAGTGAGAACCACGGCGCTGTACTGGGAGTATCGCTCCAGCTTCTGCAGCAGCCGCAGCAGCCGAAGCAGCCGAACGGTCTTCAACAAGTGGACCCCAAAGTACTGCACAGACAACATGGGTTCACATACACTCAGCCTCCAGTGTTTCTTACATATAAAAGGCACCATTCTTTATTTCATTCCTTTCATCATGTGCTATTAATACTTTGTGAGTGGAGGTGCGGTTTTATTCAAAAGATTGATCTTATTCGTCATATGCTGTTAAACATTTCCCCCCTCCAAATTACAATTGTAAAACTAATTTTGCATGCGTGTGAAGTAATTCAGCCCACAGTTTGAACAATTTTTTCGGATTCTGAGCATGGAAACAGAGATTAATGAGACCTGCAGTGTGTGCACTGACACCAGATTGGCTCGGTCCCATTTGTTTGTCTGCTCAGCATCAGTTTGGATGAAATGTTGATCTAATAAATTCACCAGGAAGCCAACGGCATTATGCATTCATTTCCCTTTTTTTTCTCCTAATTTGGCATGTTGCCATGGGGGTGTTAGCGTGGATAATGAATGCAGGAGACAGAGTGTGTCCACATTCAAGTGCTTTACTTTCCTACAAAAAAACAAAAGGTGAGTTAATTAAGAGGCTTGATTTGTCACACACCTTGCTGATGTAAACACACACACACACACACACACACACACAGGAGACTCACCACGCTGATGTTGAAAGCATACAGCAGGTCAAAGGGCAGGGCGGCAATGAGATCGACAAAGAGCCAGGTGGTGACGTAGTGAACGCAGATGGAGCGGGCGTCGTACACGACCTGACCCGACGTGCTCACAAAAGTAGTTCGAAAGTTGAGCAGTATGTCTGCAGAGGACGACAAGCACAGCAGAAGCTGACAGCAGGAAGTACCACCGGGACAGTGACAAATCACTGACACATGAGGATGAATGACGTACAGAACAGAGCGACGGTTACTCAGTGAATCACACGGAAGTTTGATGATAACAGAGAAAAAGAGATATCAGCAATGCTTACGTACTTAAAGAACGACACTGGAGGATCAGCATGTTTGAGCAGACTGACTAGAAACAAAAGCTCAAAGAGAATAAAGAGGCCAAAAACAGCTACAAAAACAAAAGACATAAACAAAGACAAAAACAAAAGTCATACTAAACGCTTTATGTTTTAGCCCTTTTATGACTCCTATTAAGACCTTTTAGGGTGTAGTTAATTTATAAAAAGCATCTTATGAACAGAAATAATCAGAAGCCCGATGTTACATTTCAATCCGCTACAGTCGTCTGAGCGAATGAGTGACAAACAGGCTGGCCTGTTAGTTCTAACAAACAGGATATCCTTTAACTGCGGGTGGCTCGTATAATTTCATCGCAGAAGTTGGTTGATGCAGGGCTTGTGTTCACTCTTCTCCATTAAGGCAAATTGTCCATTGAAGAGCCCTCGTACAACTCTCCCACGGTCAGATGGACAGCGGTGGGAACAACGAGGCCTGAAGTTTTCTAGGAAATGGGTTGGCAATGAGACTTAATGATCTGTTGTGAATGGCTCACATCCTTTCACTGCTGTGAATGCATCATTAAAAACTCCCAACTAAACTTTCATCATGATTGATGAGCCTCTTAGAGACAGGCTGTTTCCTCGGCTTCTCCTCTGGGGCGATTGATAAATCGATGAACAAATAGCCGATTTTTTCAATTATTAAGTCTTGTTCATTACCGAAGCGAACACTGGCGCTTGATTAAAGAAAGTGCTTATTGAACAAGTGTTAACATCAGTGCTCAGGTGCGTGTCTCATTTGCAGTGAAATTACTTAATTAGTCTCTACAAATCGTGGCAGACGTTTCACAGACGCACGACGTTCTGTCACCTAAAATAAACAGGATCTCTACGAGGATGTCGCTGACGCTGGGCGGGCTTCGCGGGGCAGTGCTGCTCCCTTCGTCCCGCCCTCCCACCACCGCGAAGCACACGTTGTAGGGCACGGTGACGGCCACGTAGAAGGTCGCCAGCAGAATCAGCCAATCCCAGCCGGCCTTGAAGGTTCCATAGTGGAGCAGGATGAAGCGAGACTTCTGGATGGCTGCTACCTTGTACTCCGGGATGGGAGGCTTCTCCCCGAACATGTTCTGGATCGGACGACAGGGAGAGAGAGAGAGATGTTAACACCACATTATGTTTACACCATTAGCTCTCTCAGCATTATTGTTTGCACTGTTAGCGCTGTTAGCACCTTTAGCTGGTAGCACCGTTAACTGCTAACTGTGTGAAAGCAATGGATATGCTCTGAATTCCGTACCGAGCACCTAAGTGTGATATATTCAATCTTGGAAAATGATGTTAGATATTGTGTTTTCTTAATGAGACATTAAGAAGAAAACTGGGAACATAGTTTTACGCTTGCAGTATTTTCACTGGTATATTATACAGTAAATCTGTATGTTAGAAAAGGACTTTATTGTTTTAATCTCATTTTCTGATAGATTTCGTGTCCTGATTAATCATGTTGTGTTTCCTGCATGAGGACCCTGCTTACTGTAAACAAAGCTTACATTAATACAGTGAAGAAAAACATACGGAGGAAACGCAACTGAGATGCTCATTAAAGAAAGTTTGAAAGGTTAAACTGGATACATGCATTATTAATAATCAATATACAATATAAAAAACAGCTAAATTCCATGTATAAGCAAATAAAAAACAAAAATAACGATACCTAAAAATACATAATCCCTCAATAAGTGGAAGTCAAACTTGCAGCATGGAAACTGGTCTGGATGTTTGTTTTTATCACTGACATCAGCGAAATGCAGCTCTTTTACCCCAAAGTCAAACAGAAGTGAGCTCGCTCCAGATGCCCTTCGTACCATCTGTCTGGGTGTGTGTACTACAGCAGATCTACAGACACCGCTGCGTCTTGTTGTTTGGTTTAAGAAAACCCTGTCGCATCTTGGGAAACAATTAAACAAACTCCTTTGTATTGCACAGAAGTAAATAACTTTGTATTCCATCTGGATAAAAGAGGCTTTGAAAAATCTGGATTCTTTGTTGTTGAACAACCTGTAGGGGTTTTTGAAAGTTGTCTTGTACTATATTTATCCTTACCTCTGCGACTTGAATGTAATCATTAGTGCAAAAGTCTCAAAAGTAAGAAATAATGATTACATGAGAGGCAGGCCGGGGCTAGTTTGGCATGCGATACATCTCACGGCAATCAAACATCTTGAGACTATAATGAAACTGTGTAGTTGCTGAGCACAAAGTCAGTCGGGGAATAGATTAAAACCTTTTTCATTGATCAGTGTAGACCACAGACTGTGTTTACAGATGGACGACGTGTCTCCGCCTCCTCCCAAAGAGAGCTGGACACAGCGCCGGAGACGGTGCCACGTTCATTCCTATGAAAGTTGCCCAGTGGTGCTTTAAGCAAAAAAAGTTTGACTTCAGAGGAAAGAATTTAGATAAAATGATCCAAATCTTCCAACAATCTTCCTCATTATGGGGCCCATTGATCAAGCGCACTAGCGTTTCCTTGAAGCCCGCCTCCTAGCCCTCGGCCCAGCCTCGTTCTCACAACAGAGGAGCGGTCATGTCGTTCATCTTTACATCCAGTCTATGCAGGAGACAAATGCGGAGACACTTACATTGTTGAGCTTCAGTTTGCTCTTGTCTTGTTTCTGCAGGTGTCCCGACAGGTGATAGAGAACGGCTCTGCTGCGCCGCCGGTTGGTGCTGAAGCCCGGAGGGCGGGTTACCTGATGCACCTTCAGACCCGTCTCCTCATCTGTAAAAGGAGATGGGAACATGTTGAGCCACGATCCAATTCACAACACCAGGTGAGAATTCGGCTCGAGCTCTGTGTCGATTGAAACACTCTTCAGATAGCTGTTGAAGCACCAGAGATGGTGCTTCAACAGCTACCTTTCAGATAGTCAGAGAAAACATCACCTGCACCTTCTGACCTCGTGAAAGTCAGCTTATACCATGATGCCGTCTCAGTGAAGCAGCCTACAGTCTCACATGGGTAGACGATAGATCTTAACTCCTCTGTGCCGGCTCTATACTCTGATGTACACATGCTGCCGTTTGTGTCAATATTTGATGCGATATCGACCTGCTGTCTGCCTTTGCGGCTCTTTATCAACTAAACAAGGTGTTCTTTAGGTAAAATTCAATGCTGGGCTGAGATCCAGATCTGTGTTTACAGATCAGAATCAATAATGATCTCCAACACCTCCTTCATGTCATCCTTTTTGGTCACTTATTGAATAACGGAAGATAAGAGCAGCTAAGGTAAAGAAGGAAAGGGACACAAAGAAGTACAGCAGGTAGATTAAGGGAGTTGTTTTCTGTTAAGCTATCGTCAAGGCGGTAAATCTTCTCATGCGCTCTCCATTTCCTCTTTACATTTCCTCTTATGATCGTCCCTCTGTCTGTCTACAATATGATGCCATGCTTGGCAACCCCTGTAACCAAATCATTTTCATATTCAGCCAGTAAATTCGATTTGTTCATCGTGTCTAGGGTGGCTTTTAAGCAGCTCAGATGGTGCAGCACAGAGAAACTAAGCACTGTTGATGGGACTCTCTGTCTCTTTGTATGGACTGTAAAAGTTGTCGGTTATTCACAAGACCATTGCTATGAAGAGACATGTGGGATGAACACGGTGTGTATTGTCTTTTGCGAGAAAACTACGTACAACATGATGGCAAAGATAACAGCTTGTCTGCTGAACTACATTAAAGCAGAATGTTCTTACTACTTTTCAATGTGGCTAGATTCAAGGCCAGTGGAGGCTGATTGGATAACTTCAAAAATTGGTAGAGATTCCAGGTTGAATTTACTAGCAGGTGTATTTCCAGGGAAACTGTACACAACTTCAGTGATGATAAAATGCAATAAAGTCATAAGAAAAGTCCCCAAAATCCAGCTTTTCTGCCTGTATTATCAAATCAACAACCCAGTCGCTACAGAAAATGTTGAAATTGTACATTTCTGCAAACCACGGGATCCGTTGAATGTCATTGTTTCTGAACCAAAAATACGTTAGAAGTCAGATGGTGGCTGTGGGTGCCGTGGTTTTGCCCTCTGCGGTGGCATTCAGGTAATTTGAAAACGTAAAAAGGCTCTCCCAGACAGTGTTTGGTTGGCTGTTTGGGCAAATGTAGAAACACGGCGGACTCCGTGAAGAGGACCTGCTCCTTACCGTAGCTATCAAAAACACAACAATTCTTAGTTGAATATTCTATGCTTTAGAAAATACACATGGCGCTGCACTAACTGCTCCACATGCATTTGCTGTTTGCAGATAAGGGAATGCAATATAGACTGCACTTACACGCCTTAGGGCACATTCTTATTTTTATGCTGTGATAGTGCTGGTTTCCAGAATATACAATATGTTCTCTGGGGAGAATGTTTTTGCTAGAGGGGGGAAATGGGCTGGCTATAGATTCTAAATTATTAACACAGGCAATTAACACAGTGTGCATGCGTGTGTGAGCAAGTTTTTGCACATACCAGTGTGTGTCTGTTTGTATAGGTAGTATTTGTGAGTGTTTATGGGCTCAATTAAGTCTCTCTTTCCTCGTTTTCTTCCATCGTAAATGCACCCGGCGTCGTTTTCCATCCCTCTCATTCACGTTTCCATCTCACCAACTGATTTTATGCTTTAGAAAATACACATCATGCTGGACTAAGTGCCAAAAGTGAGCCGTTCATCCAGCCAGCAATTTCCCACTAAGAAGCAGGTAAGTGGGATTGTTTGTGTCACTTCGTAAATGTCAAAGCCTTTACTTCCCCCCCCATTTCCTAGTTCTTTGTCACCGTTTTCCCCTCTTTCATTTCCCACGTCAAGAGGTGACAGATTTAGCAGAAACCCTAAAGTTATGAGAATGGTTATAGTGGTGTCTCAGTGATGAATCAGAAATAAAAGCCATTTAAATTCTCTCTCTCTCTCTCTCTCTCTCTCTCTCTCTCTCTCTCTCCTTTGCTTTCCTTTCCATCTGTTTGTCCTCTGTCCCGTGTGGTGTGTACAGCACTCAAAATCTGGTAGCTTCAATTTAAAATGTAATAACTCATGCGGTCTGTAAAACACAGCCAGAGTATATGAAAGCAGCCTTCAATCATTTCGGCTGTAAGGCAATGAGATATTCAGCCAAATGAGCGAGCCTGTGCAAGTGGGGGAAAATTGCTTAAGTGATTTCAAGCAGGTGCTCTTTCCCACCAGGAAGCACTACAGCCAGCCGCTCTGAAAGCCAATCAAAAACACTAAAACTTTAAACACTCCACTTCATCTTAAGAGTTTTGATTACTCTGCTTCTCTCACTGTCTCTCTACATTCAACTCCCAAACTCTGTGCAGTGAATTCAGCTGGAATCAGGATTTGGAAGTTTAAAAGTAAGATTTTTAATTCCTGTAATAGCTGTGCATTCAATGTTTGCAGTAAAAGGTCTGCAGGCTTACACAATACTGAATGCAGAGTTTTGCAACATAGCGATTCAAGACTTCTAAAATCTGCTCTTTCAGCTTTGCATGCTGGGAGTTTTCACTGTGTTTTCACAGGAGTACAAAGAAACAAACAGCTTGAAACAGCCCGAGCATCTCCCGGCAAGAACCGATGGAGGGTCAATCAATAATGTGTGCTCCAAGAAAAATACAACCAACACATTTGTAACTGTACTTTATTTGTAAGATGTTATGTCAGGAAGGTGAACTGACTTTCAGGTCATCGGAAAAAAAAAGAAAAAAACTAATAGTGGAGAGAACCTGACCTGGATGAGGCTTCCTTCATGAATCACACAGGTGCAGTATCCTCATGTGTTATATTTCACACTCAAGGCCTGCAGGTTAAAAGCTAAGCTTTCAAAGTGTTCAAAATTCCTTTTAATGATTTAAATCAAATAATGAAACAGACCGGGATCAAGTCCTCCAAATTAAAGAGAAACAATGATCCTCCACACCCACTAGAACGAAACAAAGAAGCCCCCATGTGATGGCAGGAATACCTTTTAAAACATTTCAAGTTACAGTTTAAAAATGATTTTTTTTATGTGACAAAGCTTTGGTTAAATAAGGTTTGGTGAGGTGTAAGGAGGGATCATGGTTTGGGTTAAAACACGTTATTAATTAAGGTTATGGGACCTTGGTTGTCATGTTTAGGGTTGTTCTCTTACAGCGTTCGTAGTGTTACCGATGAAAAAAAATCCCACACGGCGGATGGAAGTGGAGGTGGACGGGTCAAACTAAATCCGGTCTTTCTTAAAAAAAACAAACATTGTTGACAGATCTTTGGAAACAGGAAGCGAACAGCTGTCCCCCGTGTTAAGTCCGACGTTTTGTTGATCAATTCATCCACCCAACTGCGGACCTCCAACTCGGGACCCTCCACTCTCTTCCTATTGGCTCGCAGGCCCAGACGTGGGATTTGAAGTTGGACACTTATTCCCCAACCCCTATCTACACAGACTGTGTTGATCTGTGATAACATCAGCTGATTTCCTCTTTCGGACCAGTCATAGTTAACTACGGCGGCTCTTTACTCGAGTGTAAACATGTCGTCTCGTCTTCACAAAAGATGTCAGTAGAGTTTGCATGTTCCTCTAATTACCTCACAAAGACCGCCTGGTAATTTCATTTGTGATCAAGTATCTGCATTATCACAAGCTGTGTGCCATCGCTAACAGGATGTTTGTGGTTCACCGTGTGCATTTTATTCGAGGCAGTCATTAATATTAGTGGATTATTCAAATTGACAGACACACTTATCTAATCAGGGTGAGATTTACACTGATGGAAATTGTTAATTGATGCTTGATTGTTGTCTGCTTGAAATTACAATAACTGCAGTGGCACTTAATAGCTGCAAGGCAAAACGTTCTGCATGACGTCGCCTTCTGCAGGGGGGAGGGGTAATTAAAATGATCTTGAAACTATACGCAATGACTTAACACTGAAGATTGTGAGGAAACCTGCTATCAGCTATTGTGAGACATGGAAACCACACCAGCTACCAAAATGCAACACTGCTGACATATTGAAAATATAGAGAACATAGAGAGCATCTCCAACCACATTCAGTTTGAAGATTATTTGAATTTGTTGCTTCAAAAACATTCTGAACTCTAGAGCGTGACAGCTCTTTCTTGACTTTGGGAACTTCGACAAAATATTCTTTACTCAAGGTCTATTTACTGCACTAGCATTCAACTGCATCGCATGGTCTTCTGCACAAAGAGAGTTGGCTCAGTCGTCATCAAAAGGGAAACCACGTGATGAGAAAGACGGTGGTCACAGGAGACAAGACTCTGAGATGCAGTTGAAAGCTCACTACCAGAACTGAAGGCAGGTGTTATTCATGTAAACTCACCTGTGTCAGGTCCGTGCTCAGGATCCTGGTCCTTCTTCTTGTCAGTGATGTCTTTGTGGGACACCAGGTACAGAACCACCTCACCCTTTTCATTCTTAATGGGCACAATGTCCAGAAGACACCAGAACTGTGCTCCTGGAGAGAGAGAACACAAATGTACATTCAATACATACTACATTACATTACAGTCATTTAGCAGACTTACAATACACCGTAGGTACAACTACGGGAGCAATTTTGGGGTTAAGTGTCTTGCTCAAGGACACATCCACATGTGACTAGCAGAGCCGGAGCCGGGGATTGAACCGCCGACCCTCTGATTGAAAGACAGCCCTGCTATCCACTTAGCAGGGCTAAGGTAGTCAACTACCCGTACCAGGTAGTTGACTACCTGGTATAATAACAATTATTTATGTTAGGCATGGCAGGTCTGTGAAGTTCAGTAGTCAACTTGTTGCAGCAGTGAGCATACATTTATACCATGTGAATAAAGTGTGTGGGAGGAAGCTAGACCAACTGGCAGTGTGCGTTTATGTCTGTAATGTCACCTTCTGTACTGGAAGCTCACTTAATGTTCCTCTAGTCAAGATAATGTAAAGATGTGTATCAGCAGTCAACACATTAAAACTCCCACCTGGAAGATCAGTTGTTTTTGTACGGTTCATTTTAAAGCTAGGGGCTGACAATGTTGAAAACTAGCAAAAGTCGTTTAGATTTAACTGAGAAACCCAGCTCAGTATTGACAAATCTTAAATGATTTGCTTGTTACGGTCCTGCGACAGCCCGAGGTACCAAATGTTTCACTTTTTTTTGTCAGGGCGTTGTGTTTATTGATTGCTGTCTGTATGTAAAGAGAATTTAAACATAAAAAAAAAACATAAATGAAATCCATCAGCACATATTTCTGAGTCCTTCACTTAAAATGTCTGATGTCATTGTGAGACGAGATGGAAGAAGAACTCAGATGTGGTAAAAAGTAGCAAAACCTCTGCTACAAATCCTGCATTTTAAAAAGAAGTACACCAAAAGTAAAAGCAATTATTGTGCAGAATAGCTGCCTGGATGACATGCTTTTTCTCCTGTTCCATCTATACCCTCAGAATTCACTGGAGCACCCACGTGTGGAGAGGGAGATTACAGGAAGTATAGATTCACTTTAAGTCCGTGCCTCAACTGTAAATTAGAATACCTCAGACAACACGTACACCTTGTGTCTTCTGCCTTGCAAAGGGAGCTTTTGGACTCCGATTACATTTGCTACCAGCGCAGAACATCGTTATCATTTAAGCCATCTGTCTTTGTCCAGCAGATATTTAGAATCGGAATGAAATCAGTGTTGGTGTTTCAAAAGGCAGTTGTGTCCCATTAGTTGGTAAAAAGATATGATACAAAATGATTGTGTTCGTCAAAGGTTTGTTTAGTTATTGGACTTTAAAGAGTAATTTACCAGCAGGCTCAAAGCAGCGTCTTACTGCCCTCTCTGGCTGAAAGCAGTGGAGGGAAGTACATATACTCAGGTTCTTAAGTACAATTTTGAGGTACTTGTCACATCCAGCTAGGACACATTAAAACACATCACATCCAGATAGGACACATTAAAACACAACACATCCAGATAGGACA